GTATGTAAACTTTTGTTCACAACCGTATGAAAGCCCAGAAGTTTGAATCCCAACATTGCATGCTCTGCCACAGCGTTGACTGCTTCTTTCACTCACAATATGTTTTCCAGCACATAAAAACAGATCTTCACCAGATTTCCTTCGACCATTTCGAAACAAAACACAAATCGCTCATTTCGAGTATGTTTGTTATTACTTTTATTAATTATTATCATCGTCATCAACATTATTCTTCAAGTTTAGCTGTGTAACAAACTTTTCTTGGCTGTCAAAATATGTTGTTGAAATATCATTTTTTTTGCATGAAATAAAACCTAAAAACAATATCGTACAGAAAGTAGCAGAATAAAATACAACATGAGAGAGAACGTAACCTAAAAAAAAAAAAAGAAAAAAAAATCCCATTTTTTTTTCTATAAAAGCCATTCAACTGAATAGAGACAAAATTCTACTTAAAATATATTGATTAAATGTACATACTTTGCTGTGTGTGTGTGTGTGTGTGTGTGTGCGTGCATGTGTCTGGCCAATAATAAACTGGCCTTGGTTAACACTGTACACCCCAAAAATGTACACTCGATCCGTACCACTGCATGTATGTGTCAGAGTGTGTGTTTGTGTGTGTGTGTGTGTGTGTGTGTGTGTTGTCCCTTCCTTGGCAATAAGAACATAATAAATGGAGTGCAAGCAACAGCATCATTTTCTATAACACATTCTGACAAAGACAAAAAAAACCAAATGAAAACACTTGTAAAGGCCTCCCGATGTAAACGCTGATTTGAAATGCCATCAAACCTCAAAAACATACAGTCATTATATCTGGAAAGTTCTCCCAAGTTTCCTTTTTAACATCTATTATCTAGCAACACAGCATCCTTACATAATTTGTGGGAGTCGATGCTGGCAAACGAACAAAAAGAAGAACGTATAGGGGATCTGCGGAGCACTTACAGTACGAAAAGTGCATGAGCAAAGTTTTTTTTTGTATCATCAAGGCTGCTCTCTTAACTCTCAACTCAATAAGTACGGGAAAGAATTTTCCTTCAAAACTACTGAAACATTTTGGCATCAGAATTTGTATTTGCCTCCAGCCCACTGAGAAATCCTCACGGTTCATCAAGATGCAATGTAAACCCAGATCTCGCAGAAGGAAAGGCAAAACTAGTTCATCCTTTTTTTCTCTTTTTTTTCTTCACAGTCCTTCTCCAACTGTTTAATAGAAATCCCATGAAAATCTTTGCTAAAGAATTCTTTAAAAAGACTTGATGTCCTATTCTTATCATATGTCAGTCCTCTTGGAAAATAAATGTGAGAAAATCCCAACATTGCTTCCAGGAAATAGAAATAATAATCTTTTAACTTAACGATTTAGGGCCCGTTCAAGTAGAGAAACTCCACCTAAATAAAGCCAACACAGGCGGATAGGTCAAGCTGTCAGCTTCTGGATGTAACGCGGTGTGACACAATCACCCAACTCCCATTTTAAAACCTCCTCAATCTGGACTCCCAGCTGAGAAGACCTTCATACATTTATCAAAAGAAGAGATGTGCAGGGAAGTGGAGGAATACAAGAGAGATGAGTGGCGGAGGAGGAGGAGGAAGAGGAGGAGGAGGATAGCTGCAGCAGGTGGACGCGAAAAAACAAAGGACAAGCTGGAGAGGTAAAGTGAATGTCGCATTAAAAACAGCAGATGAAAAAAAAGGATAGAAGTGACACTGAAGGGAGGGTAAAGAGGCAAACGAAAGAGGAGGCAGGGGCAATATCAACCAAACCTCTTTTCATCAGCCACTACAAGCGTCATTTGATCCCATCCTCCCTTTATTCATCCACCTTCTCTCTACGCATTCTTCAAAGGCACCCATTCATCCATCTCAGCAGGTATCCCTCCATCCATCCCTTTGTTCTGTCTTTTAAGAACGCGGTGTGTAATTCCTTTTCTCTTTTTTTGTTGCTACATTTACAACTGTAAACACTTTTTTTGTTATTTTACTAGCAGCCCCATAAGAGGTACCCCGAAATGTCACACTAAAAACTGAACATATTAGCGCAAAAAAAACTACTCAGACGATCTTTTTTGAATAAAAGATGACCAAATGGATGTGGAAATCGGTCCTATCTCCACATACATGGTCACCAAATTGATGGGCAAACTTCAAAATAAAAGAAGCTTTGAAGCTAATGGAGCTAAGACGCATTCACTTGACAGAAAGCAGAACCATACGTGGTAAAGGAGTTGAGCAGATTCATCCAGCCAGACTTCACTATAAACATGTTGCATTGACGGTTTTTTGCAGGTTTCTTAGTATTTTGTTGTGTCGTATTCAGACAGCGCTGGTTGGACAGGTGGTTTAAAAAGTTAAGGCATCATGTAAAATGCAATACACCTTCAGAACTTTAAAAAAAAAAGTAATGTTTTGCTTTAATACTTGATGATCAACTTTACAAGGTTAACTTTGCTTCAAGGTAAATACTAGCCTGGAACCAGCACGCCTGATCGCTCTGGTCAAAAGTTCAGCTATTTCCAAACAGAGGGGTGCTTTTGTTTCATTTGATATCTTTTTGTCAATAAAAGGTAAAATCCCGTTATCTTCGGAACCCGCTGAAAAACAAGAATAATAGAACCTTAGAGTCACCTCTAGTGGGGAAAAAATTGTTTGCATCAGCATCGCATCTGACTTGGAATTTAAAGCCGGCGATATGAGGAGTGTTAGAATCTCCCACTGGGTGAAAGGAGGCGTGTAGAAGCCGATAATAACGATCGATAACGTAATAACGGCCGATAGCGTAACTATGGCCGATAACGTAACTATGGCCGATAACGTGATAACGGCCAATAACGTCATAACAGCCGATAACGTAATAAAAGCCAATAACTTGATAACGGCTGATAACGTAATAAATTTGCCAGTTTAAAAATGTAATAGGCCAATAACATAATAACTGGCCAATAACATAATAAAAGTCCTGAACTGATAACGTAATAACTTGTTTACGTTACGTTATTGGCTGGTTTTTACATTTGCAAAGAATTTTTTAAATTTTAATTATTATTATTATTTTTTTGTACCAGGCCAATAACATAGTAACTTATTACGTTATTGGCCAAAAGATATTGCGCTATCGGTTCAGGACTTTTATTACATTATTGGCTTATTACATTTTTAAAAAGTGCAAATCTATTACGTTATCGGCTGTTATTACGTTATCGGCTTCTCTGAGGCATGTTCTTGATCTGTAGGCAATTGCTGAAAATTCACCTCCACTGGAACTTATATTAAAAAAAAACAATATTAATAGCAATACAACTAATTTGGCTAATTTTACAGGAGGAACTGTACAGAGTTTGCGTCTGCGTTCACTTGTAATTGTTAAATGCATTCCAGGTGAACAGCAGCTACGTTGGACTGTTCACCTGGAGCGGCTACAGAGTCAGCGCTAAGGCTAACCTTGCTAACCTTAGTGCATGAACAGTGAACATTACCTTTAGCATGAGATGGGCGCTCTTCTCCAAATACACCACAGTGAAGAACATCTGCTTGTGTGTTTCCATACAGGTAGCTGAGGCTCAACATTTCTACAGAGTAGTGTTCATTCATGCAAAAACAACAAAACAACTGTAAGATAGTTAACTAGTGATCGACAGCTAGCATAGCAACCAAAAAGGAAAAGGAAACGGGTCTATTCCGTGGGCTGAACATGAAAAGTTTGACCAATCAGACCGTCAAGTATCATAAACAATGACTCAGACAACTCGGTGCATCATGGGAATCAATATAGCAGTCTGTTCGCCTGACTCATAGCTTACATAACAGTTTTTTTTTTTTAAACACAGACAACAAAACATACCTGTTTGAAAAAATGGTACAAGTTACCAGGCACTAGGCGGAATATTTTTCATTCACGTATTTTGGATAAGCGTAGAAAAATATCTTCTTTTTTCTCTCTCATTCTTTAGCGTCTTTGATTTTCTTTCGGCCTTTTACATTATTTCCTTCACAGGAGTCCCTTGATGTTTCCTTTATTTATTTTATTTTTTTGTGTTTTCTAGCAACTAAGGCAGCAAGGCTGGAGAAGTCGTTCTCTCAGTAGAAAAATAAAAAGATGGCCACCAGGTTGTTCCATTTGAAAGAACATATGGGGGGGGGGGACTTTACGAGGACCTTTACTGACATGACGGTGATTAAAGATGAAAAACTGCAAAATTTGGCTTTAAGAGAGACTCATTGATGGAATCTATTCAACAGAGCAGATGGATTTTTTTTCCTAAATCGTGTTTAGAAGATGGATTGAAAGCAGGAATGAATGGCCGACGTGTGCGATGCGTTAGTTTGAGTTGAAAGCAACGTGATCATTTTACTTCATTGACTTATAAAACGTAACTTTTTTTTTTTTCAGTATTGTTTCGGTCTAATGTGTAACAGTTCCCATCCATAGAAAAGGCAACATATTTTGCAGATTTTATACGATGCTAACATGCTACATAGAGGTAACCTACCAAACTTTCAGCAATGAGATAAAACACTGTAGAGGCAAGAATCTCTGTCGACTCAGTACAGAGCATAAAGTTCATACAGCTAACCCAAACAATCGATCCTTTTGATAAAAATTTAGGGTTTTACTCCCTAAGTTCCTAAGTCTCTCTATAAAACTGTGTAACCTAACAATATGTAGACGTACAGAGAAAAAAAAAAAAAAAGAAGTTACATACTAAGACCATGTTGACCTATTAACACATACAAAAGAACATATATAAGAGAACATTATGTAACATGCTAAAACCATTCGACCACTCGACATGTAAAAATGATGTGTCACATGCTGTGAAACAGGTGGGTTGGTGTGCAACACGTGTGACCCCTGAGGACTGAAAAACTGAGCGCAAGCCTTCATTATGTTTACATCATCATCGCTTGGGGACGGACGCATCCTTTGATCCTTACACACATAAATGCAGTTACACAAATGCACGCATGCACACAACCCCCTCTTCTTCTTCTTCTTTTTTTTTTTCTTTTTGCTGTACCATTTCTGTTAGACGGCTGTTATCGAAGTCTCATTAAGAACATAAACAACAAATAGCTCAAAAACAAGAGGAAAAATAAAACAAAACAAAACTCAAATAGACTAATTTTTATAGTACCATTTCCTGCAAAAAAAAGCATTATTTGCCTTTACAAAATAACATATTATATACGAAAGTGTAGCAAATTGCATTTTTTTGTACGATATCGTCATCATTATTATTATTACCATTATTATTATTAATATAAATGTTAAGCAGGTTAATAGATGGTTGTTCTATTAGGCAGGCAGCCAGGCACATAGCTAGTATCATGGCACGGAGGAAGGTAGAAAATAATGTCACTTGGTTTAATCCCAATGGATGAAGAGAACACTTCGGTCTGGAGTTACACCGCTTCTATCGGATGAAACTGGCTGTAAGCAGTTCAGAGAGTCATGGTTAAATCAAACCCCACCAGTCTACTGGAGCCGCCACCACCCGGCGGTGATTTTGCATTGATCCAAGAACTCCATCAGTTTGAAAAACAACAGGGCACGAGTGAAAGAAACCAACTGATCATACTGTACCAAGGTAACACCAAAGGAACTGCAGCCCAGCCCAAGCTGGTGTCAAATAGTCAAGATAGGTTTTGGTTTTTTTTGATCCATTTGCACAGAGAAAAACAAAAGAAACAGTCAAACACATGCTCTGGGCAAGAAGTTCTAACCAGATCAGATCTGGTTGTACCGACATAGAACAGTCTGAATGATACACCAGACTAGTTTGGACCAGCGTGTTAGCGTGGCGCGTAAGAAGTCAGTTCAGCTCAGTTCAGTTTGTTTGTTTTGCTTCTAGCTTGTTTTTTTCTTTTCTTTTTTTTTGCTCTGCTGTTCGGTGGCGAGGCAAGAGTTGAGCTCCTCAAACTCATCCTAAATATGACCAGTCCAACTTTCAGTCCAGCTTCCAAATCCTCTTACATGGAAAGCACAAGAAGTGGCTGTTTATTAAAGGTGATTTGAACTGCATGCCCGGACTCCGTTGTTGAATTCTTGCCACAGAGCTGTCAAGTGACTGTCACTCAACGGAGGATTCAGGCGATTTCTCCAAACTGCGCCTGCTGTAGTTCAGCTGGATCCTACAATGATTTTTGACCATTTGACAGCCGAGTGCTTCCAGCATAAGGATGTGTTCTATTTAGTGCCCAGGATAAGCCCATGTTGACATGAGCTCGCCTCCAGGAACATGAAGGCATACAGCTTATTCATCCAATAACACGTTCTTAAAGGTTTGCGTGAGTCAAAGACATGATTTAATTTCCTTCTGTGTTCTCGTCCAACTTTTCAGACTCCGCAACAGCCGTGACCTCCGTGGTTTTCGTGACGTCGTCGCTGGTATCCGACGCTGCTTTGCCTTCCGATTCCTGGTTCGTTATGGCAGGTTCGTCTCCTCCTGCCTCCGTTTCAGCTCCCGTTTCATTGTCATTGGCGTCGCTGCCCGTGTTTTCTTCTGCTTGGTCGTCCTGACATGTTCCTATTACGTCGTCGCTCTCGCCTGCGACCTCGCGCTGATCCTCGCCGTCTTTCTCCTCCGTCGTCACATTTGGACTCTCACACTCGCCAGCGTCCTGGATCGTGCCGTCTTGCGTGTGACCTTTCTGCGGCGACGTTTTGTCTGTGTACCTGTGTAAGCCCCTCTGTATGTGCGTGGTGAAGTCATAGCGATCCACACACAGGTGGAGGCAAAAGCTGCACTGGTATGGTCCCTTGTCGCCGTGGCAACTCATGTGCAGGGCATACATGACTTCATCCAGGAAGTAGATCCCGCAGTGGATGCAGCGGTTGGTCAGGTCGTCCTGCGTGGCCACTTCCACCATTGTGCGATTTGACGGGACGCTCGACTGACATTTCGTCAAACTATCCTTTACTTCCTTCCCCATCTCCTCACCCGGATTCCCTCCTTCATCTGTCCTCTCTCCCTCCTCTTTCTCTCCTTTCCAGTTCCCTCTCAACCTCTCCGTCAGCGGCAACTCCTGCCGTCTCCTCTCGGCACCGTTTGTTGACACGTGCGCATTAACGGCGCCGGTATCTCTTTGTCTTATTGCGAGATCCAGAGGAGCCTCGTTCTCTAATGATGGCGACGAGGAGGTCTGGGTGTGAAGAGGAGGAGGAGGGTAGTGAGCGGGAGCTGGAGGAGGCGGGAGAGGAGAGTAAGGAGAGGCGCAGTAAGGCACCGTGTAGCTTTGCTGATGATGCTGGACTGGCGTCACCATTGCACCGATATAGTGAGCGTTATTTCCGAGGCTACCAGGGCTGCTTAGGTTACTGATGCTACCAGGAACCCCAGAGGCGGCTGCCATCTTATACTTGGTCCAGAATCGGAGCCAGTCTGACTCAGGGGTCAGATCTGGAGACAGGGTTAACGGCAGGGGTAGGGAGAAAAGGGGGTACTGATATTTTTCAATGGGCGAACCAGGAGGTGAGTAACTAGACGGTTTGGACGGACGCATGTACTTTTCAATGGGGCTGCCTCTTTCTGATCCTCCTCCTCCTTTACCCCCCTCCACTTTTGAGGTGATCCCCCCCTCGGCGATGCCCCCGTTGCCCTCAGCTACCATCGAGGAGGGGGGATGTGAGGGGAGGAGGAGAGGCGGCATGCGTCTGTGGATCTCCAACGTTTGATTGGCTAAGAAGGCTTGAGTGGATCGCGGGGAGCGCGAGCGAGGGGAAGGCTGCTGGTTTTTGACCGAAGCACAGCTCCTGTCCGACTCCTCCCCGTTCATGCGCTCCTCGTTGGCGATTCGCTGCTGCTTGGGGGCGGGGTTTTCAGACGACAGCGAGTCAGGGTTGAGGCGTTTTCGGGTTCGTCGTCGGATGATCTGCTCGCCGTTGTTCTGCTTGATGATGTTTAGAGGTCTGGGCGTCTGGAAAACAAAGGAAGCAAAGAAGAATGAGGATAAACAGAAGGAAGTCAGACAGCTAGCTAATTCCTCTTTTTTTTTGTCGTGTCTGTTTTATCATGTTACACCACTGATGCGGATAAAGTTACATACCCCAGCATTACTTGACTATGATGAAATTCCTATTTAATGCACAAGTGGTTTCAGAGATGAAGTACCCGGTTTGAATGCCAATAGTTCAATCAGCTGTGGATAAAAAAAATAGACATCTCTCTGCTTTGAGTAATCAGTCTGCCTTGTGAGTTCTATCTTACAAAACAAAAATAAGATTAGTCATAGAATTAAGCACATGACCAATAAAGTGATTGAAATTTGGTGAAAAATCAAATAAATCTGTGTCGTAATCAAATAAAGATCCAAAGCAGTGGCTCCTCTTTTTTTGTTTTTTGTTTTTGTTTCCTCCAAAAAGCTTCCACGAGAGATTAAAGTTTCAAATATCTGAGTTCATATGGATTTGGTCTAAACATAATCCACTGATGTGCTAAACTAGCCAGTACAGTCACACATAAAGCTTGACTTAAGACTGTGTTTTTTGCCCTCGCCACAAGGGGGTGCACTTACATCTGATGTGTAAGTAGAGTTTACCCAAAAGACTCTACAGTAAATAATATCTCCCACTCAGAGCACAATGTTCAGCACAAATTACATAATAATAACACCTAAATTAACAAGAAAAAAACAATTAATGAAACGGGCAACATTCATGCAAATTTCCTTGAAAACCTCTTTTCCTGTTGATAAAACTGACTGGACAGCTTTAAGTGTCCAACCAAAATAAATAAATCAGCTGATGTCCTGCTGTAACTAAACAACTAAACACACGTTATGAATGGTGACCTGCACACAGCATTCAAAGGACAGCTTTTCAAAGTTTAGTGAAATTTTATTTTAATCTACGCTGCAAGGTTGAGTCTTTTTTTGTTTTAGAACTTTGTATAATTATATGTATTTTTGGGTAACTTCTGTGTCTCGAGAAATCCCTGTTGTGTCTGTGGGTATTTCTACATATCGTGGTGGATGAAAACCAACTTCAAAAACATGCACAAAGACAAGAGATACGAGATATCACATAATGGAGGGACTTTGATAAATAGAAGTGGTGATAAAGTGGATAAAAAAGAAGGGGGGTGAAGACTTATATTTAAAGAAAAAAGCAATATCTCATGCTTACAAAATGCATCCTGCGTTTACACTCGGATCTCCTCCAATGATTCACATGATGTGTATGTTTATGTGTTCATGTTTCTGTGTGTATCATATGCCTGTGACTCTCAGAGCATGTGCATTAAAGCATGCCTCTGTGTGTGTGTGTGTGTGTGTGTGCGTGTGTGTGTCAGTGGAAAGGCCAAAGGCTGTCATCCCCACTGAGGAGTGCATCAGTCACTGTGGAGCGGCGACTGAAAATATTTAAGAGGAGGAAAGTCATTTATAACACAACTCCAGGAATGCTCTGCTGCACTTCCTGTGTCTAGAAACGATCACCTCACTGACGATCAAATGCCTGAAATGCTTATGTGACCAAATCCCCAAGAGGGCCGAAGCCGATTAGTCACAACATTAAAACCACTGACAGGTGAATCCAGTGCCACTGATCATCCTGTTACAATGATCTGCTGGGAATATCTGGGGCTTGGCATTCACGTGGCTGCTGCTTGGAGCTGTTTTGGCAGCACACGGGCAACCTGCACAGCAAGAAACTGTAAAAACAGGAAGAATTCTCAGATTTTAAACTTTCCAGTGGTCCTTAAACAAATCACGTGCAGCTTACTGGTTTCTTGGGAAAGAAAAAACTCAACTAGAATCACTTCATTCTACAATGTTTTTTTTAAAAAGTAGGCAAAAATATACTGCTGGAAGTGAGCAAATTCTGTAAAAAAAATATAAAATCATGGCCTTGACAGTGCAACTGAAAAGTCATGACCGGCTCATCGGCAACCATCAGTCTTGTCACAAAAAAATTCTATGACTTTTCGGCTGAACTGCAGGATGTGCTTTTACACAGAACAGACAGGAGACGAGAACAGGGAATAATTAAAAATGTGAGTAATCAAATATTAAGAATGTGCTGATTTTTATCCAGTAACAGTAACACCTGTAGAAAAATGGTGCACATGTTCAGGTTTTTTCTTCCATTTTTGTACAATCAAAGAAATTCAACTTTTGTTTCACCTTTTTAATGATTTATGGCATCATAACTTAATTTCACTGCCCTCAGTTCCTTCTACATTAGCCATGGTTTTGAGCAGTGGTTCTCAAACTGGGGGTCGGGAACCACATGGGGGTCCCAAGATGATTTCAGGGGGTCGCCAGATCATTGTAAAAAAAATTTTAAAAAATAAAAATAAAGCCTACATTTATCAAATAGATGTGTATTAGAGCTGTCAAAATTAAAAGTGTCTCCCACTCCTTTTTTTGAACTTGTTAATATTATGATTTGCTAATGCGATATTATTCTTTTTTGCTGTTTTTTAATGCTCTTCTTAAAATTATTTTCTTTTGTTTTTCTATTTTTTTCCCCTTTCATTTGTTTGAAATAAATTCAATTCATTCATTCATTTAAAACAAAATTAATGTATCAATGTAAAGAGACTAATCTGTAGTTTTTGAACTTGGGGGGTCACGAACACAAACTTATGCTATCTTGGAGGTCGTGTCTCAAACACTTTGAGACCCACTGGTTTTGAGGATCAACACTTTATACTGCAGTGAAAAATGAGCCCTCTGTGCTGCTCCCGTCACATTTTCCTTCTGCTCGGCGCTCACAGGGTTAAACCTTTCAGTGACTCCTCGCGCCCTGTGGATGGAGGCATTGTCATCCTGGAAGAGGCTGCTCCATTAGCATAGAAATGTTTCATCACAGGATAAAGCTGATCACTCAGAACAACTTTGTATTGATTTCCAGTGACCCTTCCCTTCAGGGCGACCAGCGGACCCAAAGTGTGCCGATAAAACGCCCCCGACAGCACAACTGATTCTCCTTGCTGCAGGGATCGAGGGCTTCGGATTTTTTTTTTCCATTAATTTGTCAGTTGTTTGTACATAAAGCGCGAGGCGCTCATTTATAGGATTGTTGTGTGTACAATCTTGTGTATGTCAGGTACTCAAACCACCAATCAAACGCCCACACGCGCTCAAGGCAGCTGCATTGTTGTGCACTTTTACAGCTGTAGGGTTGGTTTGGTCGAACACCTGGGCTGAGTTCTCCCTCTGTCTGTCTGCTGCCTTCTCTTCTCCAAGGTTCCCTCTGCATTCTCTCCATGTCCCTCCATCTCTCCACACAAACCCTGCCCCTTCATTATCTCTGTCCTCACTCCACCTTAATCTTCTCCCTTTTCTTTGTCTTCCTCTCCTTTTCTCTCCCTTTATTTGTCTTCCTCCCTTCCTTCCTCTCTCTCTCTCTCTCTCTCTTTTGTGCCTACCTTTTTCTGCCTCTTTATTCATAACTCTCCCTTTCCCCCTCTCTCACTCTCAAGTGTTTTACTAGCTGCTATCCTCTCTAATAATGTGTGTAGAGCATATAAAACTTTTATTATGGGATATAAAATATGGTTGTCGTGAAGATTGCCAAGAGTGGAGGGAGCGGGAACGTGATTGGAGCAGCAGATGAGACGAAACGGGTTGAACCGAGGACATGGGCAGGGGCAGGAAGGAGTAAACTTCAATGGCTTGTCATCCTCTAAAAGGTCTTTAAAGCTCCATTCGATAATTACAGCACGCCGCTCTGGGTTGTAACATGGTCAGCCCACTGATACGTTTATTAAAGCTGTGATTTACCGCACCAAAACATTCGCTGTGAGGTTTTACAGGCCGAGTTTAAAAAGCCAGGATGTGAACATGAATGTGGCATGATATTTATACATATATGTGTGGAGTGTGTGTGTTCATATATATATGTTCTTGTTCAAGGCTTGTAATATTTGTAAACCCTTGAGTTAAACACGTATATTGAACACCAAAGTGGCATTCGTGGTGCTTAGCCTAAACACCTTTCAACACATCTGAGGTGAACAGGCTTGATATTGTGAAGTCAACTAAATTCCAGGCTGACTCTTTATCTCATCTGTAATTCATGAGTCTAATTAAATTTGGGATTTCCATAGACTTTCCCCAGGCTTAGATGGTAAAGTTGATTCATTCCATCATATTTCTCACTCCATGGAACTGGCTCGCTGTGACTGCTGAAATGGTCTGTAACTCCCAGCACCCACCAAATCAAATATACTTTTTTCCACAATATTACTTTTTCACAGCGGGGTTCACAGAATATATACAAGAATTTAACTGCAGCACGCACCATTTAATTTGCATCGTATGCTAATTGCCCAGACAGGAGGACTGATAATTAGTGGTCAAAGCCACCCTGTGGATGCACTAAAACACAGCAGAGTCTATAAAGTACAACCTTTATGAGAGAATAAATGCGAGTCTCATATCGGTGGATATGAGATCAGCCTTTCAAATTAACTTTCGTATGATGATAGGCCCGAGTTTCATCTCCCTTGTAGGTATTATTTGACTTCCATTTAATTCCTCTATATTTGCACTGTTTGGGGAATTAAATTTGTCCGTCTTATAGTTTGTTTGAAAGAAGATTTAAATAATGGATAGACACTGCCCGGTGGCTGTTTAACGCTCTGAACCCCAGAACCCACCGCTGGATTTGAACGACAAGTTGTCCAAAACGACACCCTCTCCTGCAGCCACAAACTCTAAACACACAAAGAATCGTCGGCTTTTTGACTTTCTGGTGGTCCTTAAACTACTCGTCTGTGATGTGACTTAAAATGGTAAAATATTCATCAAATATTCTACATGTTTCGTTTAAAAATTCACAGAAATAAACGGCACTCCTTCACTGAGATGCTGCAAAAAACAACCAGAAAGCCGTTAGTGACTCAGATGTGATGAACTGTTGCATGATATAAAAACTCATAAATAAACTGGGTGAAGTGGGCTGAACTGCAGGTTGTGTTTACACAGAGTAGATAGGAGACAAATATGGAAACTAATTAAAAAGAAAAGTAGGATCATCTCTACAGCATTTATATTACTGGTGACACCTGTGGGCACTTGTTGAGTTCAGGTTTTTGCAATTTTTATTAAGTAAATAATCAAATGAAATCAGTGTTCATATTTTTCTTTTTTTTAGCTTTGCACTGCAGCATAGTGTACAGAAGACATTATTAATTCTCTGTGAGTCTAATCACGGTTGTGCTGTTTCCATACTTTGAACTGCAGTAAAAAAAATGGGCCCACAAAAAGTGTGACAGCAGCAAAAAAACAACAAAAAAAATCCCAGGAACTATTTAATGGTGGTTAATGCAGTCAAATATAAAGATTATCCCACATAACTGTCTCATAGTTCTACAGGTTGTCTCATGTAATCTACAGCTAAACGCACAGCTGGTACAGACGTAGCATCTGTTCACGTGTCTGTCCGTCTGTGACTTACCGAATGTAGCTTTTGGTATAAACCACATGCGTTGCAGACGTAGCCTCCGTTAGCGTTCTTCCTCCACAGCGACGTCTTGGTGGTCAGACAGTTTGCGCAGAAAACGCCGCTACCTCTGCGCCGCTATGGAGAGACAAAGACGGACAAGATTAGAGAGTGGAAATAAAAAAGAATAAATTAAAAAATGAACAGCATGACGAGGAAACTTGAAGAGGATAAGAAAGATGCCATGTCACCCAGAGAAAAGAAGGAAAAAAAAGAAAGGAAATGTTGACTTAAGTTATAATTCCTTTTTAATTTTCATGCCACTCAAGAACAATGGACTGGTGGTAAGGTTAGGAGACGGAGCGAGAGGAGAGAGGGAGAACAGATTGGCTTGGTGGCAGGGAGATGATGGGCTCTCATTTATCATGCCTAATGGGAAATCCTATTCAGAACATTGTTCTTCTATACACTGATTTTCTCTGTATGGAACAAGGTTAATAAAACCCCCAAATATACACCTCAGTGAAGAGAAAACGATCTAGTTGAGCTGAACAAGTTGTTTGTGTTTTAAACGTGAATGTGTGTCTCTAAGTGAGACTCTCCCAAGAAAGATATGAGATACTGCGGTAATTTAGTCAAGTACTGCTTGAAAGCGGCGGGATGAGATGAGTTATGCTTTCACCTTGTAGCATAAAGTGTTTCAGTGTTTATCTGAAACGCGGCAGGTACTTTACAGGCGAGACTTTTACTGTATTAGCGTGCGCGTTTGTCATATACACACCTCTGCAGTTCAGGGTGCAGTGGTGCATAGAAAAGTAGTGTGTGCAAGGAAGGGGGGGTGGGAGGGGGTGGGGGGGTGAAAAGGCCAATTGTCGAGGCAACGTGCTCCATCACAGTAATGAGCCAATCACAACGTTTCTCCATCCCATTAAGCCTCTGGCCCCATTCACCACCTTTATGACCCTGAGAGGACAGCATACCTCATCTTTCTCCTCCATGACTCTGTTTCTCTCCCTCTCTCTCTCTATCTGCCGATCCATCCGCGCACCTCTTTCTCCATTTCTCGTCTTAAAAGTTTCATCTTCCCCGTCTTCATTTTCTTGTCTCGTTAGTCGATTCCAATCCCATCACATTTCTCCTCAGTTCGCACTTTCAGTTTATTTTAAATTGTTTCAAGATGCTTTAGCGGCGTATTTATTTATTTCTCTATCCAACACAACCACGGAGAGATCCTCAGCTGTTGCTACTATGATGCAAGAGCCGGCTAGTGAATGTTCATATCCGCCCGCTTGCACGGCTCGCTAAAGCTTACACCTTCTCTGTACCTTGTTGTCTCTCTGTTATCCCAATCTGTTTCTCCCCCCCTCTTCTCTCCATCATGGTGTTTTGTCCACTGGGATCTTCTCCTTTCAGCGCTGGCTTCTTGTTGTTTTATGTTCATGACAGTGCTGGGAGCTTAGCATATTTTTTTTTCTTTTTCGGGCTCACAGCACCCAGCGCTAGGAGTTAAAAACATTTCAACTTTTCACAAAAGAGCGCCGCACTTCAATCAGGCTTTCTGTAGTCTCAGAGCTGCAGATGGAGCCACTAGCAGCACTTCCTCTGAGCAGCTGTTTCGTGCTGCCAGCTAAAAGCAGAGGAGCCCAGTGGGCACGACGCTGTTGAGTTTATTTTTTTGCAATCTGCAATGCACTGCAAGGATCACAGCACAATTAACCGCTTTACATTTTCTTCGGGAATCGTGCACGTGTATGGCCTGAGCGACGCAAATACATCTAAAGAACATTGTCTCTGTTCGGAATGAAGCAGGAAAGATGATTCGCCCAATTTTTTTAAATGCAACAGCGTGGAATATTCTGAATCCAAAGTCCATTTGCCGCATTGTGCACACACACAAAAGAAGAGAGGCCAGTTCAGCGGATCAGGAACTTATTAAACATCTGTTCTAGTCGGTGATTATGCATCGACTTCTATTGCCAGTGAAATTTGTTTTAATAGCTCTTTTGTTTCCTTGCTGTAATTTTAGCTCATAAACAGACATTTATGGTGACATTCTTCATACTGTCTGAATCAGGCGAGTTTTAAAATGTTCAAAGATTCAACACAAAGGGAACACCGTAGATGTGTTTATTTACTCGTCGTCTCTCAGCTTTAATATGTGTATAATGAAACATCCTGTTTCCAATAATGCTGCATACAATAAACACCTGAGCTAATATTACCAGAGTCTTCATGCTACATGTGTTTTTCCCCGTTTGACATCAGACAGAGGAACACTTACACGACCAAATCCTCCCGGTGACACACTGAGCCAAAGTTTGTGTGTCTTTCTGTGTGTGGGTGTGAATGTGTGTGAATGGTGCACACGCCATACGGTCACCACATGTAGAGAGACAGAGCCAGGTGATTGATTGATGTACGCTTCCTCTCCGTTAGTATGTGTGTGTGTGTGTGTGTGTGTGTGTGTGTGTGTCTCGCGTTGCAAGCCAAACAGTGCGTCTGTCATCAGAATTCAGTTTCCCTCCGAGCGCCCAAATCACTCACATATGGCCCCGCAGCTGCCCCTCATCGCAACACACACACACACACACACACACACACACACACCTGAAAATATTTGCTTCCACTGGCTAATGAAGGAAAGCTAGATTTGGATGAGAGGCCACAATCCAAGAAAAGTGTGTGTGTGTGTGTGTTGGGGGGGAGGAGGGAGGGATCTTGGCTACTCTAAACCTACGCTACAACGATAGCGCAGTGTGTGTCTGTGAGTGAGGAGAGGTTCATGTGTCAGTTACACAGTAAAGTACAGAAACAGGCCTCATCCACACACATGAAATTGTCTCATGAACTTCCTTTTCAATCATCAGCTGATTGGCTCATCTACACACACACACACCAGCACACACAATGCTACGCTAACACACTGTATAACGAGAGTTTTGGTATCTCTGGTTGGCTTTCTCTCTGTGCTGGGTGTATTGATGTGTACCTGTGTGTGAATCAGTTGTTTTCCTGATTGATTGCTCATACCTGGCCTCTCCCACTCACCTCAGCCTGCAGAGAAGGGCTGCCGGTAATTAGAGCTCAGGGTCTTAATGACATCTATTTATCTGCGGCCTATAGTAGCGTTCAATCAGCGCCGCTAACAACGCCCTCTGACACGCACGGGGGGCGCACACGCTCACAAAGACGAGGATTAAAAAACACAAAAAATGTTTGCTAATCAGGAAATTAAACTGAGCCAACAAATAAAGTTGATGCTGAAAGTGAAGTTTCTAACCAGTGCCGGTCTTACAGCGAGCTGTTCTCTGCAGACGACAGGTGTCCATCTTTATTCTTGCTTATCAGAAACCTTGAGATTCCGCAAAGCTAGTTGACACAAACACATCTGGTAATTTAACATCCAGAGGAAAGGATCAGTATAAACAATGACTGTACATTAAAAAAAACAAGCAGAGAAGCTGACCATGTTTGCAGATTTTATCCCTCTCATGATGCACATGAAAAAGCCAGCAGAAATTAAGAGTACAACCTACTCAGGGGAAGGCTGCATATAAAACAACATTTATTGGTTTAATAACTTTCACAATCAGTTTGGTCAGTCTCTCTGCTCTAATGCACAAACAGCTCTAGCAGAAAGCCTTTGTGTCCCCCGTGGCGTTAGATTTAATGCAAGAATGCATAAACGAGGCTACACGACCTGACTGTTATTTGTTTGGGAAAATATGCACTCTGCAAACAGGCTGCATTTTATTATTACATGTATCATGACCAGCTCTAATACTTGAATTTAGTTTTTAGACTTTTATGGGGTCGAACTTTCTGCGCCAATTTTCCATTAGGCAGGCTGAAGTGATTGTTATTCTTAAAATTCAAACAGAAGTTATGGGCTCTTTTCAGTGACTTTCTGTGACTCCACTCGTAAAACGCACTAATAAATTATAACTTAATTTTCGAGGATCTGATGTTTATTCAGCATCAAACATATGGTGTAACCACACAGTGGCTGAACACTTCAGCGGTGGCTTTGACTCCACTCTAAGTTTCTCCTGAAGCCATAAATTTACAGATGTCATACCAACTGTTTACACTGCATGGCCTTTTAGATCTTCATGGAAGAGCTAGCCGGAATAGATAAGTATCCAAAGGTTTAGGTCCTCCAGCTATACTGAGCCCCTCAAATGTATTTCAGCATCTGCAACCAATGTACGGCGACATCTAAAAGGCGGACTGGTGGCCTGCACACGAGCTGCTGGCTTTCAAAATACTTTCCATCTACGTTCAAAATAAAACTCAAGTTTACGCTCATCTCTCGGCGTTTCTCGGCAATTTGTTCATTTCGCACATCGAATACGGTGAAATAAAAGTAAACATGCAAAAAAAAAATTCATCTGGTGCTGAAGTCCTTGAAATTACGTGGCACAACATCGAGACGCAGAGACGGAACTGAAAAGAGAAGGAGCGAGAAAGAGAAGAAAGAAATAGATTGAGGCGCCCTGCGGTCTAAAATAAATTAAAAAAAAGAGAGAGCTCTCTAAACAAAGTCTTTCAAAATGAAATTACATTTAATTCACTTAAGGAGTAAGTCGGGCCTGCTTTTAACACACAGATGCATGCACACATACACATGTTGATACACACACTGACTTGCATTAAATCAGCGATTATTTAATCAAGCTGGAAGACTAGCTGGAGGAATTAACTAAATTCCATACTGCCAAGACCAATATCCTATACACTGGATCACACACACACATGCACACACACACACAAATAAGAAAAAAAAAGAGAAGAAGAAATAGACCTGTGCCAAGGATACAGGGGATAGTTTCAGATAAAGATTCACCAAATTAATCATCTCCTTAAACACACACTGAAAAGCATCTGGGTCCAATCAAACAGAGAGAGACCCCCTGTAGGTGCTACCAACCATCAACTTCTTGTGTTTGTGCAGGTCAGTGTGTGCACGAGTCAATGTGTGTGGTTTGCTCTCAGACTACTGTGTGCATTTAAATGACTCCTCCTAATAGAATAATTGGGTTTGAGTTGAATGAAGCAAAGTTAAAATGACATTCTGATAGTTTATTCTTAATTGACAAGGACACACAAAAACCAATGACCCTTAAATAATTAGAACT